TTCATTCACATTGTTCACGTCATGTGAGGCAGGGGCTGGAGATAAAGCAGCGAGAAGAGCAGAGCTTGTTTCTTTGCGTTTGTTGAGTGCCTGCTATGCACTTTCATGTCTTGTAATCAGCGTTGTTCACAGGAAGTTATATGCCAGACGTAAATCTTAATATTTTTACAGAATGACTTTCAAGTGTTCACAGCGTCTTCCTTTGGAGTCTGCTCTTTTCCTTGGCACTCCTGGCAGGTATTTTTGCTTGCTTTCTTCAATTCAGCCCTGATGCTGTTGGGGCAGGGTGACCTCTATTCCAACAAGCCCACTTTGCTTAAGTCTTTAAAAATGATGAATTGATGATGACCTTTGAGTTAATATTTCTTGATTCTAAGATGCATATTTTTCACCTGTGAGTGTTTCTGAAATTTGAATGTGGCTGATAATTGATAGTTGTTTTAATTATAACAGAGCCTCTTTTTTTTTTCCCCTGAAAAGCTGTTCATGAGTAGATGGTGCATCTTATAATTGATGGCATCTTAGTACCCAGGAAATGTAATTCTCTGCCACTGGTGTTATAGAATGGAGTGGTTCCCTCCTAATCAGCACCAGGAATTCATCTCTCAGAGGGTTTGACCAAGGAAAGCTGCAATAGGAAACCTCACCAAATGCTATACAACTTCCTCCTTTTACCCCTGTATTTGGTGGTTTGAGATTACTTCCTGGTTTCTACTAAAAAGGCGTTTCCTCCTCCCATTCACTCACAGAACTGGAGGCATGTGACCAAGGTCCCCGATTCAGGGTTCCTGCTGAAAGTAGGCTAGCTGCACCAGCTGTGCTCGGTTACCCTTTGACACACCCCAACCTACCTTCGTAGTTGGGGTTTCTACAAGAGAAACTTTAGGCTCCAAGCCTGCTACCCGACTATCCTTGGGGAAGGCGTCTACTTACCGACAACTTAAAAGCCAACGCTTAAAATATGATGACATTTCACCTGGCAAGAAACACTCTCCTTGCAGATAATGGAAAGATAATTGATTAAGCTTGTTATTTATGAAAGAAATAAAAAGGACAATGCTTTCAAAGGGGGAAGGGGGAAGTTTTTAGATTTTTTTTCCCCCCTGAAATGGATGACTCTTTCCTTCCTTAATGGACAGGTTAGCGATTATTAAAACGCCACAGCAGATTTGGAGCCATAAGACGTCAGTATTGCCCCAGCCTGGCTGCCCGGCTGCCCTGCTGTGACAGGGACAGGGGTGGGCAGGGGGCGGGCAGACGCTGCTCTGGGCTGTAGCTGCTCCTTCTGGTTCAGGCGATGCTCAGGCCATGCTGCAGGCGCTGAGCGCGGGGACCAGGGCTTTTGAAAAATAGATGCTCAGGGAGCCCATCTGGAAACAGAAGGCTGCCAAGAGGAAGGGAGGCTGCGCTTCTCTCCTCCTTGCTCTCTCCCCACCCCCCCATCATGGCGGCCGTTCTGTGGGTTTATTATATTTTTAGAGCACTTGAAAGCAGGATTTCTTGTGCTTTAAGGACAAAAATCATGCCGTGTCAAATCTAGCGCCGTAGAAGACGCTGAGCGCAGGAACGTAGGGTGATGCATCTGCGAGCCCCCGCCCTCCCGGGAGGAGGGGCGGCCTCAGCTCCCGGCGGCTTCTGCCGGAGGCAAAGCGACACTCGGCCGGTGAGCGAGGCTCGCGCGCTGCCAGCAGCAGCCTGGAATCTGTCCACCTTGCTCTCATCTTGCGGCCCGAGCCCCTCCTCGGTTGCGGCGGCTCTCCGCACCGGCCCCACCCCCGCCGACCCGCGCAGAGGAACTGCTGCGAGCAGATGCCCGTGTGGCTGCTCAGAAATCTCCCCTAGGGCCCCGCGGCGTCCTGCCGCCTTCCTCCGGGGCATCTCAGGCCCTCCGCCACGGGGGCCTCGGGTCTATCACACCCCGTGTCCCCCTCCCCTCCGGGTCCTCGGTGCCCACCGCTGTCTGAGCATGAACTGCTGTTTGTAAGAGAAAAGAAGAGGCTTCGGAAACAGGCGAGCGGAGCGTTGCCCCGCCGGCCGTCGCTGTTACCGCCTCTCCTGAGACCCGGCTCCCCTGTGTCTGCGTCCCGGCTTCCCGCTCCCGTCTGATGGGCTCAGTAAAGGGCGCGCGGCTTCTTGCTGTTTCCCGACCTCTGCTTTCCTTCCCTCCTCCTGGCTTTGCTCTGGAATTTGGTGTTCTCCCTCACGGGTACCCCTGAGCTATAAGAGCCTGATTCTCCCTATAATGCGCCTTTGTAATAAGGCATCAGTGGGCGATGAGCGGGACATTTCTTGATTTCGTGTTCCCTACGTCTCCGTTGGCACCTTTTCCAAGACGCCGACTCAGGACCCCAGCGATACCGGCAGAGCGAAAGCTGTGGGGGCAGCCAGGTGGCCCACCTCCCTCAGCTCATGGAAAGTGCTAGAAATAGCCATAGACACGCCCAGCAGGTTGCCTTAATTTACAAGTGAGAGAACTGGGATCCTTGGAGGGGAAGTTATTTGTCCAAAGGTCCCGCAGCCCAGGGCCTCGGACGCTCAGTCCTGTGTCTGCGCTTAGAAAGGAGAGTAGTTTGCGGGTGGTGGCTGCTGATATGGCCTAGGAAGAGAGAATGTCCTGAAGCTTTCAGTGTTTTCATTATTCCTGTAACCACGGAGTACGAAGAAATACATGCAAGAACCAGGTTCCAGAATATCAAGGAAGAGTTCTACCGTCCAATTACCTGTCAGTGTCCTCCTGATTAATCTAATCCTAGTGGCGCAGATGACATACAGTGTTATAGTGTGCCTGCTTTCTACGAAAGAGAAGAAAGCATTGCCTTTTATTTAAGAGTCATGCAGGTCGTGAAGGTGAAGAAGCAAACCCTTGTCTGTAAATGTCAATGAGCATGCTCCAAAGGTGCAGAAGGAAGACGTGGGAGAGGATGCATCTCTGCTCAGCACCCCGCAGGCAGATAAAGCACCAGCCCCACGTGCAGCTGCGGGTCGGGGTCTCACGTGGGGATGCCCCCAGCCCTTCCCTGCTTTGCTGTGATCTGCAGCTGTGGGTGGCAATGGAAAGTGCAAAGAAAAAAAAAATTTAATACTTCTGGGCCAGAACACAAGTAAATCTCTGGAGGAAAAGCTCCGGCAGCAGAATGTGAGGAGGCCGGCAGTGGGGGCTGGCTTGGGGTGCCTGGGGTCCCCGGAGGCCAGAGCAGGGCACCCTGAGCACCGCCACGTAGAGGAAGGCCAGAATCTGCCGTGAGCTGAGCAGAGCTCCTGACCACAAAATGAGCCAATGAGTGTCGCTGTGTTTTTCGTTTTTGTTTCCTCTCCTACTTTCTCCTTTGTGGTAACAGAACCATCACAATAAAAATACTATCACGGTTGTCCTCAGGGACAGAGAAGACGGATGTTTATGAGACAAAGGAGGCCTGTTCCTGGCGCGGTGGGGACCGTTTTCTCCGGGTGTCACCTTCTGAGAGGCCCATGCAGGCTGCTGTTTGCCCTGGTCCCCGAGCTCCAGCCCCTAGTCCATGGGAAGGGAGACCCTTTGTGCCCAGAGGCCGTGTCTGCTGTTACTCGGGCGGAAACATATCAGGTGAGCAATAGTGTGGACGCCATCCATTTGCCTCACTGAGTCGTCAGATAAAATTCATGAGAGTCTATCAAGTAGCTTTCGTGTGTAAATCACCACGTCAGGACCTATGAGCTGCCAAGACACACACAGGGTAGGACCCGTTCCCTGACCTCAAGAAGCTAAACTTTAGTAGGGGAGGTAAAATTAGACACAGCTAAAGACAACACGAAATTGGGACATGGATGCACGTGACTTATCACATTAGCTACACAGACCGTCTCCATGACACAGTTTTATTAATAATTGTTTATTGCCTTGTTAGGTGTTATAGGACACACCTATTGGGTGTCCCTGGAGGCTAAGTGGTAAAGAATCCGCCTGCTAACGCAGGCGACATGGGCTCAGTCCCTGCGTGGGGAAGGTCCCCTGGAGTAGGAAATGGTAACCCTCTCCAGTACTCTTGCCTGGAGAATCCCATGGACAGAGGAGCCTGGTGGGCTGTAACCCACAGGGTCTCACAGAGTTAGACACGACTGAGTGACTAAATAACAACAACCTCCTTCCTAGCACCACACCGTAAGCTCAGAGAGCAGAAGGGTGTCTGCTATTAAGTTCGCCTTCCCAGGGTCAGAGAGGATGATGCCCCTCTCTGGACGCTCAGAGCGAGGAGGGCAGATCCCTGGGCCCGTGTGAGGATGACGCCCCTCTCCGGACGCTCAGAGCGAGGAGGGCAGATCCCTGGGCCCGTGTGAGGATGACGCCCCTCTCCGGACGCTCAGAGCGAGGAGGGCAGATCCCTGGGCCCGTGTGAGGATGACGCTCCTCTCTGGACGCTCAGAGCGAAGATGGCAGATCCCTGGGCCCGTGTGAGGATGACGCCCCTCTCCGGACGCTCAGAGCGAGGACGGCAGATCCCTGGGCCCGTGTGAGGATGACGACCCTCTCTGGACGCTCAGAGCGAGGGGGGCAGATCCCTGGGCCCGTGTGAGGATGACGCCCCTCTCTGGACGCTCAGAGCGAGGAGGGCAGATCCCTGGGCCCGTGTGAGGATGACGCCCCTCTCCGGATGCTCAGAGCGAGGAGGGCAGATCCCTGGGCCTGTGTGAGGATGACGCTCCTCTCTGGACGCTCAGAGCGAAGATGGCAGATCCCTGGGCCCGTGTGAGGATGACGCTCCTCTCTGGACGCTCAGAGCGAGGACGGCAGATCCCTGGGCCCGTGTGAGGATGACGCTCCTCTCTGGACGCTCAGAGCGAGGACGGCAGATCCCTGGGCCTGCGTTAGGATGGTGCTTCCCGTGCTGCCCACAGGAGCCCGGGTCAGTGCCCGTGTTGGCCAGGACACAGGCCTGCACATGTGGGAGTGGCCTGAAGTCTGTCCTGTGACGTCATAGGGACCACAGCCCCGCCCCTTTGGAGTCAGAGTTCCAGCCGCCTGGTAGGCGGTTGCGCCCACGGACTTCGCTCCAGCCAGGTGGGCCGAGTTGTCAGCCCCTCCCTTAACGCCGTGAGATGTAATTCTTGGAGACTCGCTCTCGCCTGTGTGAGACTGCTGGATAGTTACAGGGCTCAGACCCAGGCGAGGTGTGGCCCCTGGTGGTGCTCCAGGAGTGACGGCTGGCCGTGGCGCGTGGCTGGAACTCCCGGACGAGCTCCCATGGCTCACCAGCATTTATTCTGCACTTAGATGTTCCGGATGCCTGCCCAGGGCTGAGGGCACAAAATCAGCGGAGATGGCCTTTCTAACCTCAAAGTGCTTTCTCACATCGAGTTTAAAAATTTATAGACATGCAACTTCTGGACCTCCAGTGTCCGATTTTGCATCGTCTACAGCAATACAAGACGGTGGTGTGTTTTCCCAGGGTAGTTTTCCCTTCCATCTAGTTCTTTAGGAGACTGCAATGAAAGCTCAGCAGAGAATCATTTTTCTCGAGTCCTCTGACTTCTGTGTTGATGGCTCACTGTGGGGCATGTCCTCACTGCGGCAACTGCCCTCAGAGGCTCTTCCCCTTCTCTGACCTGTGACATCCGAGCTGTGGCTTTTCTGCCTCCTCCGGGGGGGTGAGCGATGCTCGTAGGCAGGTGCCTGGGACCCTGATGGTCAGCTGGGACCCCGAGCTGTGTCCTCAGCCTTGCCGGGGCTCTCGGACTTTACGTTTTTGCCCCTGAAATGTCTTCTGAGGCTCCTGCTGCCTCTTCAATCCATTCTGAGCCTTGCTGTGAGGACGGATCCTCGTAAGCGGTCTTGTTCATTTCACACTCCTGCCAGGACCTTCAGGAGAGAGTGGTGGGCCTGCCATTCGCACAAACTGGTCCCCTCCCTTTCTGGATGTTCCGCCCACTGGCTCTCTCTTCCTTGGCATCAGACACACAGAACCCACCCCAGCTTGCCTGTCTCGGCCTCGCCCATGGCTTGTGGCTCCTCTCACCCCTGCTTTCTGGACTCCTGTCCAGCGGGTGCCCTTGGAACCCCTCCTGTTAAGGCCTGATTTTCCTGATGGGTGACGTCTTGGTGTGTGTGTGTCATTTAGTCGTGTCCGACTCTTTGTGACCCCACGGACGGTAGCCCACCAGGCTCCTCTGTCCGTGGGATTCTCCAGGCAAGAATCTTGGAGTGGGTTGCCATTTCCTTCTCCAGGGGCATCTTGGAGCACGTGGTAAATGTAAGCCCTGGAGGTTTGCTCGGAGAACCCCAGTAAGAGCTGCTTTCGTGCTGTGTCAGGAGCAGCCTTCTGGCCTGGCTGGTGGGGCCTGGCCAGCATCTCTCAGAGGCTCTGGAGCCTTCTGTGAGGGCGCTGGGAGGATCCAGAAGGAAGGCCAGGGACTCAGCTCGACAGTCGCCGGAGGTGCTGATTGCGAAATTGTGGAGGCGATGGGCCTGTGAGTTTCTCTTGAGGGGAGTTTCTCAGGAGGCTGTGTGTTCGGTTCCTGGAGTGGACCTGAAGGTCATGGCTGGGGTGCCTTGGATCTTCTCAGGCATGTTCCCAAGGCCGTGGTCTCCATTTCACGTGAGTCGAGGCTGCGGGTTTGACCTGTGATTTCTCTGCGTGCCCCGGTGATGAGATGAACCTGTGCTATAGACTGCTTTACGTTTGGCAAAACTACAGACTCGGGTGAGACCCACACACGGTCACTTGGGGGAGCTCGTTGGTGGGAAAGCACCTCTAAGCAGCCCGGGGGGGGTGTGGGGGACAGAAGAAGCTGCTGGGCAGCTGAGCGCTGAGCGGGGAGGGGCCTGCAGGGTTTGCACGGGTCAGCCCGGGGGTGAAGCAGGTTCCAGACCAGAGGGTGCAGGCTGCAGCTGCCGGGAGGATCCCTGCAGCACTCAGCGAGGCCTGGGAGCTGAGACTGGGACGGTGCATCTACCCGTGGACCTTCACAAGTGAACAGGGAGTCACTCAAGACACACCTTGGAATACAGTTCCTGGACCTAATCCGTTGTGAGAGTGAAGTTCCACCGTGTTACTCTGTGTCTCGTGTTTTTCTCACTCAACAGGGGTTCATGCCTGCCCGCGGTGTGCAGCGTTGCGGTCACGGTGTCCCTGAGGGCAGGCGTGCCTCCAAGCAGTGTGGTCCGTACGTTGTGTTAGATCAGACAGCGTGGTCTCTATGCTACATTAGATCAGACACTGTCTCATACCAGCTTGGAGCAGGAAAAACTGGTGGAGGCTTTCAAGAAAGTTCACAGGGTAAAAGCCTGAAATTAGAAACTTTCCATTTATTATAACCTGCTGTGTTAATAGATAAAGACATCATTATAAAATTTAGGATAAAGCCATAGTTCAGAAGTAAGATTATATTGTGTGTGTGTGTGTGTGTTTGTGTGTGTGTGTGTGTGTGCATGCTTAGTCATGTCCAACTCTTTGCAACCCCAGGGACTGTGGCTTCCCAGGCCCCTCTGTCCATGGGATTCTCCAGGCAAGAATACTGGAGTGGGTTGCCATGCCCTCCTCCAGCAGACTGTCCTGATCTGGGAATTGAACCCACGTCTCCTGCATTGTCAGGCAGATTCTTCACCACTATGCCACTTGAAGTCCGTTTATTAAGCATCTACTTCATTCCAGGAAACTGATAAGTGTTTTACTTCATTATGACTGATCCTTTCCACAGTTCTGAGAGGTAATTTGTTCTCACTTTCCAAAAGAGAAATCTAAGGCTTTGAGAGGCTGATTACCTTGCCCTGAAGTCAGAGGTGGAGCATGGACTCAAACCCAGATCTTTCTGATTCCACACCTACATTCTTTCTACTTTGCGGTGGCCCAGCCCAGCTCAGGTTCCAGGGGGCAAGGGTTAGGAAAGCGTTCTGATGTCCAGAGGTGATCGCGCCTTCCCACATGTGGGAGAAGCATCGAGCCTTTGGCTCACCCCCTTCCACACTCGCTGCCGATGACCTGGGGCCAGAGTCTTTCTCCCAGTGAACGCGCCTTTGATGCCTGGTCCTCACTCTAACGACAAATGGGGCACAGCCTTGGGAGGCCGGGGGATGGGGCTCTGGGGCAGCAGGAACTGGGTGGGATGCTGAGCCCAGCCGGGTCCCAGTCACTGAGTGATGAAGGGCCGGGGAGCTGGAGGAGCCGCTGAGGGTGGAGAGTGGATGCTGCTGCCCTCGCCCTCTCCCCGGGAGCCGCAGACACAGGCCAGCGATGTGCTCTGGCCTGAGGGTAACTTGCAGCGTCACAGTTGAAATGGCTGCTTGTTGAAGACTTGGGGGGAGCTGAATGACGATCTCTTCTTGTAGACGGAGGTGAACAAGGGGAAGAGCTGAGTTTAGCTCAGAATTCATCAGTCTGGAGGCAGCTGGTTCTTCCCCACAAAGCCCCTCTTTCTAATCTCTTCGCCTCCAGACAAGCCTCCCACCCCGCCGATGAGAACAGCCTTCACGGCTGATGGGGTTTCTGTGAACTCCAAGGTGGGCCCTCCTCCTCCCCTGGCCTCCGCTGGTCATCCCCACGGCCCCTGGGAAGAGTGGGTACCAGCCCAGCACTGGTTTCTGCAGCCCTGCCTCTGGTACCCGGACCCCATCTTCAGCCACGTCCCCTGGGGTCTTCACTCGGGGCCTTTCCCCACACAGTGGTCTCTACACGGGCCGACCTGCCCTCATTCTGAAGAAACCCAAACTCATCTGTCAAGACTTGGCTCGAGAGTCATCACCTCCACCTGGAAGCCTGCCCTGACCACCACCCCACGCCCCTGGCCTTGCGGAGTTTCTCCTGTTTTATGTCCTGGGGTGTTTCTGTGTTCCCTGCCGACTTGCCCGCCCCCCTTCCAGCCTTCTGATGCTGCCAGTATTGGAGCAGGACAGCTTCAGGCTTCTTTCTTCCACGTTAGCAGATTCTTGACAGAGAGTAGGTGGATACTCAGTATACATTGGACGGATAAAGTAAGTGATCTCCTTGTGACTTTAGATAAGGGAAAGGCTTTTGTTGAGAAGATAAATTCACTGTGAAGGAACTCGCGAGTATGCATTGATTTCTCAGCAAATATTTAATGAACACATTTTATGTGTTTATCATAAAGTGGCCTAGGACGCCGAGCAGGCTGTGCTTTTTGTGAAAGCTGGGAGGAAAGGGTGCTTGCGGGGCTTGGTGAAAATTACTGTATCTGCGGTTTCTCGGTCAGAACCTGCCACGTCCTGAGCACCCGATAGACATTCAGAATGAACATGAATGAAAGAATGAAGGGCTCTGGGGCTTATAATGACTTTTCACATGTGTGGTCTTTTTATAATTCAAGCAACCCCCTCCCCAAACCGAAATGTACATTGCTGGTTACAACCCTAACCTGAGAAAACTGGGACTGGGAGTTACTAGGTGACCGGCCCAGGCTGTCTGAGCCCAGGGGCGTCTGGACTAACCTGGACCTGGTCTCTGACCTCTGTGTCCTCTGACTCCTGGTTGGGCAGCTAGGAGTGCATGGATACTGTTCCTTGCTCACTCATCAGACTCTCCCAGGCCCCTCCAGCGAGCAAGCCCCGATCTGATGGCTGAATCCCTGGGAATGGAGCGGGGCAGGGAGGCTGCCCCAGGTTATGTGTGTCTCTCACCCCGTGGGTCTCCACGGGCTGGCTGTGCAGGCAGCCTGGGCCGGGCGCTGAGGGTGGAAGGTGCTCCTGGGGGCCGGGCTGCCTCGGGTGGTGCGTCCCCATGTGGGGCGCAGAGGAAGCCAGTGGGGATCAGCTTGGGCCGTGGCCCCGCACGGCTGAAGCACGCGCTCTGGACCCTGAGAGCTGATCACGCACGGCAGGCGGGCCTCGGAAGAGGTCTGTTTGGGGACACAGACGGAAATTGCCCCCAGAGGAGTCCCAGCTGGTGGGGAAGATGCATGCAAGCTGAGAGGTGTGAGGGTTAGGGTGGGTGCCTGAGCATGCAGGGGAGGCCGTGGGCAGGACTGGAGCGCGGGCGGACCCCCGGCTGAGTCCGTGAGGGCTGGGCTCGTGCGTGCAGAGCACAGAGGGGAGGCCGTCGGGGGCGCTCACAGCTCCCCGCAGCCGGAGACAGCTCTCCCTACACGTCCTTCTCCTGGAGGGGGCCGGCTCTGACCCCCGAGACCTTGGGCGTTGTTCCTCCTGGGCCAGGCTGCGCTCGGTGGTCTCCCTTGAGGCAGGATGGGGTGGTGAGCACCCCACAGGAGGAGCGCGCCTGCCGCTTTGCCGGGCCCTGGGCACACCCGGCTCACCGAGGGAGGCAGAACCTGCCTCATCACGCCTGCCTCTCTCGCCCGGCTCCCGGTGCTGCGAGTCCTCCTAGTCGTGGTCCTGCTCCCCGCTCCCCCACCTTCTCCTGTTTGATTTTAGTGACCTGTCGAGACAACTCAGCAGAAGTTTGGTTCTTGAGTCTCTGTACTTGTTGAATAAACATTGAGCGCAGGGGCGCCTTGGATCTCCCGTCTCTGACTCGGCCAGACGCTTCCACAGCCTTGATCTT